TGTGTATATATATATGTATATATATATATATACATATATATATATATATATATATGGGGTTTCAAGATACAAGTTAAGTCCGCTCCACAACAGCACTCGATCCGCCTGTATCTCGATTCTATTTTCCCCATTTAAAATTAACCAAAAACCGATTAATTCGTTCCAGACCCTTAGAAATACACTATTAATTAATAAATTAAAATCCCCCCCATCTAAACATCAGAAACATAGATATAAACAAATATATTGATAATATAATATATATTATATATATATATACATATATGATATAAATGAATATAATATATTATAAAATAATAATTACAAATAATATAATAAGACCATATAAAACAGTAATTATTTCAAAAACATTTAATATTATTGTTATTAAAAATGGGTAAAATAACCCAGCGAGGGACAGCGAACGAGACAGCGTGACAGTGTTCAAGTGATAAAAACGGAGCTCGGTTGATCACTGGTACCTTGATATTTCTTCGTATCACAAAGAAAGTCTTGCAAAAGTTACGTACTATTTCGGGTAGCTCGTATAGTGAAGCCTCACTGTGTTGTATATTTTTAAACACACTTTTTATTTAAAAAAAAATAGTCATTTAAAAGAATTCCAAACTACCAAATGATGCTGGCCCATAGAGGGCACCTGGGGTTATGGCACCCAGGTGCCCTCTATGGGCCAGCATCATCTGCTCAGGCAGTCTGCAGCTGATGCTGGGCCCTGCAGCTTTCCTTTCCTTGTTCTTCTTTAGCTTTGGAGAGGGTGGGGAGAGACTCTCTCGGAGGGAGAAGGGTGGAGGTGGGGAGAGCTGAGCTGAGCCCTTTGATGTTTCGGTGCCTATAGGCTATTGCAGGATGGATGAAATAAAAGCATGGATGAGGATTTCAGCTGCAGCAGGGGAAATTGAGGGGGTGAAGAAATGCAAAGTTGAGGTTGGAAAATAAAGATGTTTTTTTTTTTCTTGAATTGTAACAAGGACAGGGAAGTCAGGGAAACGGAGAGAGTCAGTTTTTGTTAACTTGCTGGTTTCGACATGGACGGTGATGCAGGTTTTGGAAGGAACAAGTCACAGGGAAACCCGGGGTGTTTGTTGAGGATGGCGAGGAAAATGGCTGCAGCGAAACACGGTACAACTGGGTTGAAACTGTTAGTCTTTCCTGTGATGGAAATCCTGAGAATGTTGGGGTACTGTTGGAACAAGGACGGGTGAACAGAGAATTTGTTGCAGCTTTTTACAGAGCGGAGACACTAGAGGCGAATAGTGGCGAATGGAATGTAAACAGGCAGGCTTGAACTGTGTAGCGTCACAGGTAAAGACACAGACGATTTCACTCAGGGGGCCCAAGGCTCAAATAGAAACACCATGTCATACTGTGAACCTACAGTACACCAAACTACAGTACAGAAAATGGCTGTTAAGCATATGTCAAGAATCAGTTCTTTTTTGTTTTTGCAAAAAAAAAAAAATGTTACTAACATTTAATTTAGACGTCAATAAAAACCTAGTTAAATATGGATTAGCATACAGTCCCTTTAAAGTTCCATCCAGTTTATTTCCAGTTAAGTTCCGATCCCATTCAAATTTTAGGTATCTCAGTTTGTATTTTTATTATTATTATTATTATTTCAAGGTTCAAATCAGCCGAGTTTACAGTTTACACAGTTTAAAACTGCTAATTTAAAAACTTCAGAAAAACACTTCAGTATTAAAGTCCACTCAATTTAAGGATGCAATTAACTTAGTTACAATGTTAAAATCCAGTCGATTTAAAGTTTAATTGCATTTTATTGCACTTAACTTTTCAAATCCACTCAGTTCAAAGTTTCAGTCGAGTAAAATACAGGTTTAAATTCGCTCAGTTTTACATATAAATTAACTCTAAACTTTTTTCCCTATCAGTTTAAATCCACTCACAAGTTTTACCGTAACATCCTGTCACTTCAAAGTTTAAATGTAATCACTTTAAACTTTGAATCCAATCACTACGAAACGTAAACAGTATCAGAACGAGTCACTTATTATTCAGTATATTTGTCATGAATATTTTTAAATCATATTTTAATCGCGGTGTGTTGCCGGCGTCAAAACAATCTTGCCCTTCGATCTTCTAGCAGGCCTACAGTTATGATGGCAATTGGAGTGATTTGATTGGATGGTCAAAGAATGCACGGAAACTAAATTAAATGTGCGTCCACTGTCAAGCAACATTCTCAGCCTGAAGCGATTTAAAACCTGTGCCATAAATACAACAGGACAGACTGGACTTTAGCATTAGCATGGATGGAGATAGAAAAAGACTTGTTTTTAGAACTGGAACACACGGAAAATCTGTACAACAGTAGCTGAATTCCTCTTAAGGAATGAGAGGAAGATGTTATTATTGATGTGTTTTGATGTACATTCACGAAGTCACAGCTGTGGTTGAATTGTGCTTTGTGGGTTTATTACTTTAGTTATTGTGTTTTTATGGCTAAACTAGTTGGCTAGGATATAACAACTTGTACATATACATATCGGCATAATATTGGTGGTTTTGTAGTATGTTTTTAAGATGTGAGTTTGTTAAGGCCGTACGTCACTTAAGGTCTAGGTTAATACACGGCATATTACTAATGGATTGAAAGTGAAGATTAAATTTACTTATGAATGAAATGGATGAAAGTGAACGACTACAGCACACCACTGCACACACAACGAATTGTGACCTCTGCTTTTAACCCATCACCAAAGTCAGCAGGGGGCAGCACAAGCGCCCAGGTGCCATGCTCAGAGCACCTCAGTGGAATCATGGCTGCTGGTGGACTCGAATCTGTGACCTTCCGTGCCCAAGTCTGCTTCCTTAACCACCTAGCCACCACTGCCCCGAGCCACTTTCAGTTATAAATCATTTTCCTTAGTTTAATTTTTAATTATAATACTTACATGTTTAGACCCCACTGAGTTGACAGTAAATATTGTCCACTAAATTTAAAAAGTTTAAATCCCCTAAAATTCTATTTACTGTAGTTTTTGTGTGAATGTCTGCTCTATATTCTCTTAATTTCCACAATTATTCAAATATAATGAACTTTTCTAATCTATAAAAACAGCAGTCTTGGTATGTGATAATATATGATAATCCCAGCTCTCTCTTGACAGCAGCCTCATTTGCATAATCATCGTGTTTGTTGACCCCCGGGCGTTATTAAGAGCAGCAGATTTAATAATCTGAAAACTAATATACCACAACATCTTTCGTCGTCGTCGTCGTCCTCTGCTGCATTTACACCAAACACAATAGACAAAAAAAAAAAAAAAAACGCTTGAAATGCCTGTATCGCACCACTTGATCATTCAAGCTTGTCACGCCTGATGAGCTAGCCACAGAAAGTCTCGCAACGTACTTTACTTATTTTTTGCGGTGTTGGTGCTCATACGCGCCGATGATAACCTTTTCCTCCAAGCTTCTCTGCTTAACTTCGGAGGTCCAATATGAACTTTTTAGCCGATATCCTGTATGCCGATATTTTCCAAACAATAATTGCAGATTCCGATATCAACCGATACCGATAAAGGCCTGCTAATATTTATTTGTTTATCTCTATCAGGCCTGGTAATATTTATTTGTTTATCTCTATTTGTATTGTGTTGCTGGCACTCATATTCTGCATACAAATCCTTAATTATTTAAATAGATCAATAAAATGAGCTGCAACGCTGCCATCTAGTGCCTTTCACTTTAATATACAGCCGTTTATCCCCAAAACTACTTTTGGAGCGCACATCATTTAGCGAAACCCAGGCACTGCCTTACTTGGTTTTCATTATTAAGATAATGGTAGGTTGATCTCACTGCTATCTTAATTGTTAATGATTAATATGCATTTAATTCTCTGATTCAGGGGTGCCCAACCCCCGGGTCGGGGACCAGTACCCGTCCGTAGGTGATTTGGTACAAAGCCACAGTGGGATACAGTAACAAAATTTTTTTTTTCCCTGACAAATTTTTAAAACATTGGTTCGCTCAGACTCTGATACTGACATAATAAAGTTGAAAAGTTTTACTTTGAAAATTTAGCGATCCTTCAATGACGGCATGGTATTACCGTTCCGCACTAACAGCTGATACTGGCCGACCGGTCCTTGGTACAAAAGCGCTAATATAATGAATCTCCATAGGAGACAACACTACAGAATAATAGCCTTATTTCAGTCCTTTGCAGAATTCCAACCTTAGCTAAATCATTACATTAGTTATTTAGTAATAGTATCTCAATGCTGAACCAAAAACCAGAACTGAGTCATGTCGTGCCGTTTTTCATCAATTTGAAACCTCACCGCTGCTTTATGTTCCTTTGTATGTATTTTTATGTATTTGGTATGCAAAGCAGCAAAAGTCTTCACTTTGATACCAAAAGTAGACCGGCTTTGATGTAGGATGCAGAGAGACGCTGCTTTAAAAGATGCTGGGTTCGTATACGCTCATCAAATTTTGATATGAAATGAGCAACATTTCTAGGATATTTTTTCACTTTAAAGATTAAAGCCGCAGCACTGAAGCCATCACAATGCGTTGTTTGTAACACTTTGTGCTGCACCCACGTTTTCCTTGAAACGTTTTAATCCCTGAGCTCACACATTTTAAGAACAAATTTCACACACAAAATTCCCAAGATAAGACTCCTTGGAGTTCTGAGGTTCTAAGTTTAGTTTCACGCTTGACTTTGAAGCCCACACGCAGATGAGCGCACTATAGTTTTTTGTTCTTTGAACGTGCCATGTTATGTTGTGCAACTGGAAATGAAGCCACATTTTCTACATAGCAGCTGTAACAGAAGATAAAGTATTCAAAGTTTTTACAATAAACAACAGCGCTCCATGTGGTGGTGGAGAGCATTGATTTGACATCTTTCAATGATTCTGATATGACTTCACACACGTTCCCGTGCCGTTCTTCCGGGAACAATAGCAAATCTATTTTCGAGAAAGCGCTCGAATCCTTTGTTCTCAACCACTGATGAGCATTGTGCAACCAAAACAAACCCTTCTCTGTGACTGTTCCTCCATCTTCATAGTGCTTTCACCAAAGCACCTCGCTCTTTAGGAAATATCGGAACAGACTTTAATGAAACATTGATTGAATAATCCATTATTCATTAGAATCAAATTCTAAATGAAATTGTTCTTATTGGTGACCCTAAATCCTTAAAACTATCAAAGTCGACCGGTGGATCCATTGGTCAATTTGTTATGGTTTAACAACAAATTCTGATTGGTCAATATAATGTTTTTTTGGGGGGCGTTGTTATTTTTTTCACATATAATTTTTTGTTTTCACTACTGTATTTTGAAGGGTATTTTAGCCCAACCTGGACAGACAGATTGAAGAATGTTCCAGAAAGCCTAGGTCTGGTGGTTTTCTAATATTTTTTTTTATTTTGAGTGTTTCATTTGACAGTCACTCCTCCTCTACCATGTCAGAGACCTCCACAGTGTGGCAGCATTTTACAAAAATAGATAAAGGTTAAATTAAAAAATGTTGGCAGGCAACAGTTTCTTTATCCCCGCTCAACTACAAACATTCTAACATTCAACATTCTACAATTCAAGGCTGTTCTAGAAAACCACGACGTCCTTATCAGCTAATAATAAATCCTGTGTTATTGGGGTTCTTAATTTAGTCAGTGGTGTCCCACTGGGCTCTGTCTTGGGACCACTGTTGTTTACAATAAATATACTGCAAGCAGTATTGATTATAATGTTCCTAGTTTCATTTGTACGCAGATGACGCTGTTATTTACTGCTCCACTCCTACACAGCAACACGCTCACTTTCAATATCGGTTTCAGTTGGAACAGCATTTCTACCCCTGATATTTGTCATGTTTAATTCATGCAACGTCAAGGTTGAAAGAAACTGGCCTGAACTCTTTGCATTCCTTTTACCACGAAGCACTGAGGTTCATTACAAAGTCTCTAATCACTAATCACTGCTTTGGAGGTTGGACTGCATTATGTACCTTCAGAATGAATCACTGGTATGTCCTAAATGATAGGTATTTATCAACACACACACACACACACATATCCTCCCATTTGTGTCCTTTTATTCATTTAAAGAATGCTGGAGACTTGCTGGAGTTGTCGTCCTGTCATGTTGAAGCGTGAGTTGGTTATACAGGAGCTGTTCAAACTCTGTTTCTGTTTACCTCTGCTGCGGACGAGCACAAAGTGGAGGGAGTTAGCCCCGGGAGCTAACGTTAGCGTCGGCCCTGGAGCAGATCACTAAGTCTCCCCTGTGCATTCCAGCTACGGGCGGGAATGAACGGGATGAAAATAGGAGCTAACGTTAGCGTCGGCCCTGGAGCAGATCACTAAGTCTCCCCTGTGCATTCCAGCTACGGGCGGGAATGAACGGGATGAAATTTTTTTTTTTTTAATTAAAAGTAGACACCTGCAGCTTATAGAGAAGTGCAGGTGTCCATATTACATATTTTTTTTCTTTTTAAATTTAAATAGTGCGGCTTATATTCAGGTGCGCTCAATAGTCCAGAAATTATGGTAATATGGAAAAGGAGCTCCTCCTGCAGGAGGACTTAGGTATTTAAAGCTCAAGACTAAAGACATTGCAGCAAGATGCATCAGGTTATAATATATTATATGTATGGAGTATTTAATTTAAAGTGGTTAAGGAAGCAGATTTGGGTCCAGAAGTTTTCAGGTTAGGTTAATAAATGTTGTGACAGATTGCCTTATGACTTTGTAAGGTCAGTTTCATGGTGACATGTTGTATTTTTTTTTTTTTTTTTTATCTTTATCTTTTTATATCTTGGAATCTGCTGCTGCTGACGGACGCTCTTATGAAAGAGTATATTTTCAAGTAAAAGATTAAGTAACCTTGTGCACAGACTCGTTTGACAGTTTCTGGCTGTTCCTACAATGGGTTCAGTGTGAATTATTCGTCCAGTTGACGCTGAAGGCTGCAGTGTAGCTCAGATCACCTGCTGTGCTAACTGCTGTCGTCTTGTCCCTGCTCTTGTCTTCTTTCTCTATTGTCTCTCCTCGTTCCCAACTGTCTGACAGAAAGCTCGTCTGGCCAGAATAAGACTGTCCAAGAAAGGGAGCTGCACAGCCTATCTTCACAGCAAGCGCAATGGCCTTCTCAATGAAGTTCTGGAGCTGACGGTAAGAACTGTTTCAGAAACCTTTTCAAGTTTTAATGTTTTGTCTAAATAGTGCTCCTGTTCAACAACACCATCATCTTGCAGGAAATCATCTGACCTCTAAGAAACATTCGGGGGTTTTTTTTTTAAATGTATTTATCAGCGAGCAGTTTTGTTTTTACCAAGATAGTGAATGTAGTAGCAAATGTAACAAACATGCAAAAAAAATCAGGGTTATGACACTGAAAAGCAGGCTATTCTAATCCGTTCTGACTAATCTCTAATGACAATATTACTAGGCCAGTGTTGTGTCATTAACATTTTTCATTAACAAGAGGAGAGAAAAAAAATAAATAAATAAATGAAGTTACTTTGTGTTTTTTTTATTTTACAGACGTGAGGGTGTCGATTCCACTCCACTGTTGCTTGTTGTTGTCTGATGTTACTACAGACGTGAGGGTGTCGATTCCACTCTGTTGCTTGTTGTTGTCTGATGTTATGTAAGAACATCAGGGCAAAGTTGTTTTATCTTTTCATTTATTTTAATTTTCTTCTCAACAACAACATCGCTGTTGAATAGACTGATGGAAAAAACATCTATTCAAGTCAAATTCAGACACAGAAAATATTTTTTCTAATAACGTTTTTTTTTTTTTTTTTTTGTTCGATCACTGTGACATCGGCTTCAGATCCTGTTAGAAAGGCGTATTTTCTTTCAGAAATAACCAGCGAAGGATTGTAACACAGGTAGCTGAACAACAAAGATTTGTGGTCGTGACTAAAACCCCTTTCTCGTTATTTTGTTGGACTGTATTTTGTCATTCGTCAGGAATCATATTTATTATTAACAAAAACCTGATCCAATATGAAATAAACAGCATTACCACTCATGTAGTGAGTTTAGTTTGTTTTATTTTGTTTTTATTTCATGCAACAAACTCATTTTCCAGAAGCATCATCCATTTATTTTTTTTTTATTATGACTCATTTCTCTGGCATTTTCTCTGTTTTATTTCTTTCTCTCATTGTGTTTTCTGACTACTTTTTGACCAACCCCCCCCCCCCCCCCCCCATTGCTCTGACTTTTTTCTTTGACACTGTATCTATCTTTGAGTCTTCTTCTTGACTCTTGACTGTTTGCGTTGATCTCTTTTGTTTGCCGTCGTGAATCTCAATGGATTAAAAAAAAGCTAAACCTGAATTTGTTCTACTCTTGTCTTCCTGTTCCAATAAAGAACCTTCAATACAAGCTCAACCTTTCGGATCAGGTACAGAGACATCAGGACAACACACTGCTGGCAAAACACAAAAAAAAAAAAAGCATGTGTGACGCCTCCTCACACTCCTGTCCCCCCTTCTCCCTCTCCATTTCACAGGGTTCTACTGAGGATGAGCAGCATTTAAATAAATCCACGTCTCTGCTGGCGAATCAGCATCATCACCTGCTGCACTGTCTGGAAAAAACAACCGTGAGTAGATATAAGACTGAAATGCAAACACCGTTTTGAGTCTGTTTTCATTTCATTTAATCGACCATATTTTCCGGATTATAGCAACTGCGGAGTATAAGTCGCACCAGCCAAAAAAATGCATAATGAAGAAGAAAAAGAGATATATAAGTTACTCTGGAGTATAAGTCACACCAGCCAGGTAGAGTGCCCTCTAGTGGCTGTCAGTGTGAAAATAATGAACATGTACATTTTCAGTGGCACAGGAGTAGCAGACACTGGTACACAAGCCTAGAGTGCCCTCTAGTGGCTGTCAGTGTGAAAATAACGAACATGTAAATTGTCAGTGGCACAGGAGTAGATACTGCTTTACAACCCTAGAGGGCCCTAGAGAGTGAAATGATATATTTTAATATATAAGTTGCACCTAAGTATACGTCGCAAACCCAGCCAAAGGATGAAAAAAAAAAGTGCGACAAATAGTCCGGAAAATACGGTACATACATTTTAGGGATGTCCAATATGAACTTCTCGCGGATATCTAATATGTCTATATTGTCCACCTAATTTCCAATTCCAATATCAACAGATAATAATAATAATAATATACATTTGCCACACAGTGTGTCCAATATGAACTTCTCGCGGATATCCAATATGTCCATATTGTCCACCTAATTTCCGATTCCAATATCAACAGATGATAATAATAATGATATACATTTGCCACACAGTAGAATGTTAGAATGCTTTCCACTACAGCAAGATCACGATAGTTAATTGTAACAATCTAAGGGTAACTTTAGATATTCCTAAATGCTGAACTTTAGCTTCTGGATTTTTTTTTGTTTTGCTTGTTGTTGTTTTTTTTTCTTTTCCTCTCAATCAGGGATGTCAGTTATTTGAAGCATTTGTGCATTTTTTTTCACAAAATTCATCAAGCAGGCCAGATCGAACCCTCAAGCGGGACGGATTTGGCCCGCAGGCTGTATGTTTGACACCCCTGTTTTAAATAACATTTCTGGCAAAACAAGAGAGAGTCTTATCCACAGAAAAGACTGTCTTCGTGCAATTCGAATCACACATACTTTATTTTGAATAAACCTTGTAATGTGGAAGGTGCGTGTTCGTTGTTGCTTTTTTTGCGAATTTGCTTTATTTTCTCCATCAGACTATGAGTCAGTGCTTTCACTTGAACGAACCTGGAATATTTTTTTCACTGCAGGCAGGATACGGGTCTGAATCATTCATGTGTTTGGGTCTTTGAAGCTGCAGCTTATTAACAGAGTAGACAATGACAGGAGACAACACAAGTGAAGAGAAGTGTGATCAAGTCTGTGTCTGTGGTGGTTCACAATCTTCAGACTGTGCGCGCGTGTGTTTGCATGTGTGTCATTTTTCAATTGAATTGAAAATTCCTCATCATGAATAATAGATAATCGTAGCCTATAGCAGGAGTGTCAAACTCAGTTTGGGTTCAGGGCCTGCATAGAACCTAATTAGATGTCAAGTGGGCCTGGACCAGTACAATGATAACATAATTACCTATAAATAACAAAAAGTCTGTCTTTTTCCCCCCCATTTGTTTTCATGCAAAAAAAGTACTTTAGATAATTCTTCATATTAAATGAAATATAATTTCAAAAAACATTTCCTGAACATGTGCTTGTATTTTTTTTTTTTTTTTCAAAATTCGTCAAGCGGGCCAGATTGTAACCCCTCATGGCTGGTTTTGGCCTGCGGACCGTATGTTTGGCACCCATAGCCTTTAGTCTAGAGCAGGCGTGGGCAAACTTTTTTGACTCACGGGCCACATTGGGTCTTAAAATTTGACAGGGGTGTGGGGTCAGGAGCAGATAGATGAAGTCCATACGAACTATGGACTAAGACAAATGACAAGTAAAAGTCACGCATAAATGCTAAAATGCTAAAATGCTAAAATGCTTTTAGCCATCAATTGGGGAAATGCAGCCACTACAGAAAAAAGGCAGATGCATCATGATATAAATCAATAACATAATTTAAACATCTTTGGCGGGCCGGATTAAAAAGCCAAACGGGCCGCATCCGGCCCCCGGGCCATAGTTTGCCCATGCCTGGTCTAGAGTCTAGTGTGTTTTTAACACTACTATCACACTTTCTAATATATATATTTTTTTATATTTACTTTATTTCTGAGTCTCGTTTCACACACTTCCTCCGCAGAACCACGAGTTTGTGGACGAACAGTATTACCAACAGAGCTACCTGGAGACAGCGCTTCAGAATTACCCCTCTAGAAGCCCCTCCCTCTCCAGCCACGAGGGCATGACAGGAACCTGCTGCACACGACCGAGCAAGAAGCATCGACACACACCATTACCCAACTCCAGTACCACCACACACATGAAGCCCCTGGCGCACAGTCATCAAGGAGGTTTGCAGGAACTAAGCACCATCCACATTCAGCCGCTCAGTTCCAGGTAATGCACACAGTCCGAGCATTAGCCACCAGTTGCTCAGAACCAGATTCAGAAAAAGGTCTAAAATTATTTGATGTGTTTGCTATGACGGTTGTAGAATAATGTTTATGGTATTTTTCAGACTATAAGTCACTATAAGTGCCCTCTAGCGACTGTCAGTGTGAAAATAACAAACATGTACATTTTCAGTGGTTCAGTGGTACAGAGTAGCAGATACTGGTACACAAGCCTAGAGTGCCCTCTAGAGGCTGTCGGTGTGAGAATTCCCTCTAGTGGCTGTCGGTGTGAAAATATGGAACATGTAAATATTTAGTGGTACAGGAAGGAGTAGCAGATACTGTTACACAAGCCTAGAGTGCCCTCTAGAGGCTGTCGGTGTGAAAACATGGAACATGTGCATTTTTAGTGGTACAAGAGCAGCGGATACTGATACACAAACCTAGAG